ACATAATCTTTTTTTCTTATAATTTTTGGGGGGAAAAGGGGAGGGTGTTTCGTTGGAGATTTGGAGAGGCTTCTTCTTCTTCTTTGATACCCCTGTTTTAGTTATTTAGTTATATCTCATCTTCTGTTTACGCTGACACCGGGGATGGAGGTGCGAGGAGACGGGAGACGGAAGAGCGGGGGAAAAAGTGATGGATAGATAGATAGAAATGGACGAAGAAATGAAGAAATACATAATCTGTGATTATATTGCAAAAGATATCAAAATTGCAAAGAACGCGGCAGAATATTTCACTAAAGTGAGCTCAAGATATGTGATATGGAACAGGAGCGTGCATGTCTATGTATACCCACGAGGTACTCATCACCTTCCCAGTAATGATAATGTTGCTTGCAAATCTCGAAACTCGAAACCATCAAGATCTCCCACCCATTAGGAGAACCTTCCACTCATCCATCGTCCTCCTTTCTCTCTCCTCTTTTGCCTCACTATGACACAATCAATCATACAATCACCAGTCTTTTCTTCAAGCATGTAAACCAGTGAACGAGGGATCGAGTAGAAATGCATTTCAATTCTAAACTCTCTAGCTAGTAATTAGCATCTAGCATTCTAACCCTATAAATTTATCTAAACGAGTGACTAATACGAAAGCAAAGCAAAACGAGACAAGACAAAAGAAACGAAAAGAAACCACGAGAGAAGAAAATACAGAAACAACCTCCTGTAGAAACGCGACAATCTTCCTGCTCCAGTCGAGCAAATAACAAATACTCCGCCATTCTCTCGCCCTTTCTCCACACTTTTCCTTCTTCCTTTTCTTGTGGTATGTTCTATGGATAGGGATATTATTCAGCAGAAAAGAAAGGAAAAGAGGAAAGTTGTGATCTTCTGACCACGGTGCACCGACTCCCAATAACAAAACCATAAACGAATGGCAGGTATCACAATCCCCATCTCCATCCATCGATTTTGAAAGAATACTCAATCGTTCCCCCATAACAACATCCACACCCAACCTAACATCCACTAACACAAACAATACTAGACCTCCTCTCTAATTCCTCTCTTCTCCCATTCTCATCATTCTCCTCCTCCACAACCGTCATCAACATCATCTCCACCTCGTTACCTTTTCTCTCAACCTCTCCAATTCTCTTCACATTCACATTCTCCTTATCAATCTTCTCAACCCTCAACGGTTCAACTTTCTCAACATCCCTCCAACCACGCACCTCTTCAAATTCCTCTCCTCCCCCAAACTCCACCTTCCTCGCATTCCCATTTCCCGTCTTCAAGCCACCCCCCATCTCCACAGTTCCGATATCCTTTCCATCGTTTCCACTACTACATTCCAACATCGCCAGTTCCGGCTCCACAAGCGTATCACCACTAAGATTTCCCAATTTCATCAAACCACTCACACCAGCAGCTGCAACATCAGCTAAAATTTTAGCAGAACCGCTATCCGAACCCCTCATACCCACCGCACTTCCCGACCCCTTTCCTACACTTCCAATCACCACCGTCTCTGTACTTCCACCCACAAATACATCTCCATTCTCGTCACTCGGCAATCCACTTGCCCTTCTTACCGTCGACAACTTTGCACTTGGCAATCTCAGTGTATCAATCCTGTGATTATTTTTCCTCATCCCATTCCCCAAAATTCCAGCCTGTGCTTCCTTGTCCGAGGCCGACGAATTTGTTTGACTTTTAAAACATCTATTACACAATTTTCTAACCCAACTCTGATTCGAATCCGAACTACCACTTGCGCAATTATTTTCCCTGGTACAAGCAACTAGACTACCTGAATGCTCTGGACTTAATTGTCTCAAAGGATCATAAGCAGGCGGACCCCTAGCCCAACGATCTCCGTCCATTGCATTTGTATCTCTTTTATTATTCCAAGGATAATTGTTGCACAAAGATGTTGAATGTTGAGTCATACCATTTGCATCGACAGTCCCGCTCATTTGTCTAAAAGGCTGAGCTCTGGGACGCGCAGCTCGATTAACACAAGAGATAATGAGGAACACAAGCGAACCAAATCCAGCTAGAAGTAGGAAAGCCATGATGAGTTTTAATCCGACATTTTTGTGTTTTACCGATTGGAGACACTGGTGGTGCTTGAACGTGTTTCCGAGAAAACGATCACAGTCGCTTGGTGTTTGTGGTACCCAGTCGGCGGGCCAAAGACCTCGACGATGACGAGCTGATGAAACTCCTGTAGGTGTAGACCAAGGTACAGACTTCTCTTCAAAGCATTGAAGATTTCCTCGTAAGTCATTGATGCAGTGGCGGGTTTTGGTTACTGTCTCCATGGGAGTTGGTTGTGCTGTAGCAGTTGATTGATCTGTTACGCCCGACGTTTCCGTGGCACTTGGCTTTTCCGTTATACTCGGCTGTGGTGTATTATTGGATTGGATTGTGGTAATTGATTGTTCTGTGTTGTTAGGTACAGAGGCATGTGTTCCTTGCTTGTAGTCTGGTCTATATATGCACAAACCATCATCAGTACGAACCCAGGGCGGCTCACATGGATCAGCTTGCCAACTGGGAGTAACATCACGCTCTTCATGCTCTTCACTTATAGATTCACCGCGTCGTTGCCGGATTGTCTTTTGAGGCCGGGACAATAGATCATGAGGATGCTTGCGTTCATAATTGGGATCAAAGAAGCACCGTCCATCCATAGTACGGATCCAAGGGAGGTCACATTTTCCGACTGTGGCGGAAGAGAGAGTTCTAGCAGAAGATATGGCGGTGGAGACGGATTGTGAACTAGAAGTATGTGTAGTAGCGGTAGTCGCAGGATGCTTTGATGACGATGTTGCAACAGAAAGTTTAGTTTCTATGGTAGATGGAAACCCGTTACTAGTCAGTGAAGAAGGAACCTGAGTCTTCTGGCCTTCAGCTTTATTACGACGTTGAGAGTTTAGCCCAACAGGCTCTAGAAATGATCTCTTCCAATCGGAATCGATACCATCACCGAGCCATATGCACCAGCCATCATCGTACTTCCAAGGAGATGGGCACGAAGAAGCCGGAAAGACTGCACCCATGCAGTCTTCTGGAATATCTGACTTTATGGACTCGACTGTATCAAGCCCCGAGTCAAATGGTGAATGAATTCCCGAATAGAATCCCAAATCGTCATCATCAGCCCACAGTGTGCTTTCGGGAACACAGATACCGTCGTAGTTTATGATCCAATGAAATGAGTCGTCCTGAACAGTTTTTGTTTCTTTGGCCTCATTGCTCACACCACCATCACGACGTTTTTGCCCTGAAGAGAATGACTTCTTTGTATCGGGTCCCCAAAACCCCAACGGCTTACTCGATGAGCCCCAATAGTAACACCAACCGTCATTGGTATGAACCCAAAACTCTGGACATGAATCAGCCTGAAATGGTCTGGGCTCGAATTTAGTAGGTTCATTTTTTATCGCTTCGCGACGCTGTTGTCTCGAATATACCGATCTTTTAAAAGCGGGTGGTGGATCATTGAAAATTTCCGGTCTAACCGTCTGATGTTCAAAGCTACCTCGATAGATACACCAACCATCAGTGGTACGGACCCAACCATGTCTACACCAATCTGCCTTATAGGGTCTGTAATTGACACTGGTCACCTCATCTATTGCTGCTTCCCGTGATTGCTGTTTTTTATTGGGATCGACTGGTGGTGGCCTGACCAAAATAGAAGTTGGTTGGTTCTCTGATGGCTTTAGACCATTTACTAACCCTTTGGGGAATCTTCCATCGTTCTTAACCCCACTGTCATAGTAACAAATGTTGGTGACATCAGGCGTATGAGTAGAAGTGGGCATGAGCGTGTGAATTGAGGAAAGAGCAGTATTCTCATCCACGATCCATGAGCGAGGTGTGGGCTGCCACTCATGAGAGAGACACCTTCCGCCGTGCCTGCGTCGCGCTTGCCAAGAACAACGCCTTGAAATTACACGATCATCGTCTCTAATGATAAGAGGCAATTGTCTGATACATTTCCCTCCGTTCTTGCTTTTGATTTCTGGAGAACAATGCTGTAATCGTTCGATTTCGGACTTGGCTTGGTGCTTTGGGCCACCAAGCGCATGATCCCCATATTGAATACCACCAGTAGTAGCATCGGTGACGTCCTCAGATCGTTCGACCTGTTTGCTAGCAGAAACATCCGTCAACTTTCCCAATGTCGAGTCACGAATGCGTAATTGTTGAACGAGTAACTTCGCGGACTTCACAAAGCGAAGTGGAACATGAGTAACTTGGCGTTCAAGTTCAGTCGAGACATCAAACTTGGCGGGATATTCAGGATTTTTAACAAGAACCTCGTCAGAATGATGTCCGTGTTTGTTGCGAAGTGCTACTGTTGGTAAAAAAGCAATGCAAATAACGAGAGCAATAACAGTGATTTTTAAGACGATTTTGAAAGCTGTGTAGTAGTGCGAGTTGGTAGCCCGCTGCTCTATATTGATACGACTAGGTGCCTTCGGGTTTCTTGGTCTGAAAATGTCAGAAAGCATACTTTTAAGAAAAAAACATTTACTCACGAGAAGAACGGCGGCATCCTGACGGATGGGCCAAGTGGCTAGCTTATACTAGTAGAGTAAAAGTGATATGATAAAGTAGAATATTTTTGTAATGCTGAGAACGATGTTTGTCTCCAAAAGTGTGTTAACAATACGACACAACCGCGTTTCAAAGATTGCGGATGAATAGAAGTTGGATGAAAGGAACAGAAAGATGTAGGCAAGTAGATTGACCCTAAGGGATAAACAATGAAATTTGGAACGCGAGGAAGGCACGAGCAGCATGTTCAAGTGAACAGCTGAGAATTTGGGGTCACTCTTTCCATAATGATCAGATTTTCCATTATAGGAAGCTGCGAAGTTCAAGCGATGGTGATGCCATGATTTATCGATAGATTGATAATTTATTCTCCAAGTTAAAAGAAAGAGTCCGTAGCTAACGGCTGGTCAAGTACTTCATTTGTTCTACAAGCCGGGCGCTCCAGCTCCATGACCGGCTCCGCCAAATCCTGAGGCGTCCGGATATGTTGGGTTCATATTTTGCCACTCATGCTTCATTTGATAAGTTCTATGATCGTAGCCAGGTGGTGGCATATAATTCGGGCTGTGATCAATGGGAGACTCTTCTTTGACATATTGTTGCTGCTGCTGTTTTCTCCCGTGCAGGCTTGCGATGATCGGTTCGGCTCGAGTGTCGAAACTCGACAGAAGTGCCTTAGAATCCTCCCATCTTTGACCAAATGTCCTCAAAGTTTCCTTGATGTGATTTATACAGTTGAGGCTCTGATCGGTGTGATCAGATCCAGTGACTATCGGAAGAGACGGTGGTGGAGAGCTCGTTCCAACAGTGTTGTATGAGCCATTGAATATCTGATCTTGACTGTCTGATAGCACCGCCATTAACTGACTTCCAATGAAATAAACTCGCAGAGCATCATGATAGGTATAGAATACCTTATTGATAGGATCTTGACTGATAGGAAAAATCTTTTGCATATATGTTATGGCGTGGTCGAAGATCAAATTCTTTGCATAATCTGATACTACGTGGACTCGGCATGATGGGGCAAGACAATAAACGTAACTATAGAGTAATTCCAAGTCAAAGAAATCCTTGAAGGCAAGCGGGAGTGAATCGGGAAAGGAGTTAGACCAGTCTCGCATTTCTTGACACATCTTCCAGAGATATGTTGAGCCTTGTGGCAATGGTTCTCGACTGGACTGAAACAGCTCTTGATACCAACTTGACTGAGCGCGTCGTAATTGCCACAGCAGATGTGCGGAATCCATAGAATGGGGGCCAACTATTGAATCTGCCTGACCCATCGGAGGAAACGTGGGTGATACAGACGGATATTCAACGCTAGATGAGTCGTCCGTGAAGGAAAAGGCTCTTGCATGAACCATGCTGATAGATCTGGTTTCATTAACATCCATTGGTATTTTTTCAAATGAAGACTTTCTGCTTACCGATCGAGCGAGTAGACGCAATAAAATATCCTCCTCCTCATATCTAATGCTTTTTTGTCTGGTTGTTGCTCTTTAGGCGGGTCCTGATGAAATCCCAAATCGACAACTGCCCGACAAGCAAACCCCATCAACTGCCAGCTGTCAAAGTGGGCTGGATCCAGCATTGCATACTGAACAAATAGTACCAAGGCCTGAATTTGGGAGACATGGCCAGGCATGAGAACATGATCAGCGTAGGCAAGAGCACGGCCAGCCCAAGAAACGCCCTCCTCATATTTGGAATCTAAATAATTTCGGGATTGAGCGGTGGATGATATGGCTAAGACCATGTAGAATAGCCAATGCTCAAAGTCAGTCACCGGCTGACTGCCACCCTGGTAAATTTTATCCAATGCATTGAAAAGAGCTGTCTCAGAGACAATTGGATATAGAGCGAAAATGTTATCGAGATAATATTGAATCGATGCTGTCGCCACAGATCTTGGTGGCAATTGTAGAAAATCAGATTCAGGCAATTCGTCATGGTTAGCCGCCGAAAGAATGAGTCTGGCGAATGTCATATTTGTTGTTGATGATTCAAAATCGCGCGTGGTAGCATGAACAGATCTACAGTTGTTAGTATGAATCTACCAGATATGAGGAGCATTGGTGTCTCACAGGAAGCCAAAGTCGGAGACCAATTCATTCACATCAGCAGCCTCCCTCCTCCTAGCTGCTTTTCCATGAATCGCGGCTCTAATGGTAGCCAGAGAGTCCTTTCGGTCTGGAAATTCCGTTGGTGTATCAACATCATGCATCGCAACAGAAGCTTTCCTCAACCGAGCGTATGCCAGGCGCTTCTCGAGTTTTTCAACTCGTGATTCAAGAGAAGCAACATAACTTTGACGGTTAGATATGCAAAAACAATATGGCGATAATGTCTTACCTCCTTTCCTTCCCCTTCGCGAACTGATCATTTGCACTGGAACATTCGTTCAGTCGTCCAGATTTCTCACACGCAGTACACGCAGGTAATTTCCCATCGCACTTTAAAAGGTGTTAGTGAATCTACGCTTGAGGTTGGAGGATTCAGACCTTAATTTTTGCGGCTCGACCTAGTATGTATTAGCCAATGGAGTTATACTTATTGGTAGATGGACTAACATCTTGAGCATGCTGAGACTGGTCTAGATACTCGTAGGAGCGGGGTATCAGCGGCGCTTTGCCCAGCTCGACGCATCCTTACTCTAGCACTAGATATTTCGATATTTGGAATTCTCAGTGAAGAATTTTGGTTGTTGATATGTCATGTCCCTCTTACCATCAAGAGGTGGCTACAGAACGTCAGTTGAATATAAGGCCTCGTGATTCAACTCAAAATCCTAACTGGAACCGAAAGCTGCAGGTTCAAAGAAAGAGAGCCTATACTCCCAAGCACCTTCCGCAAGATCATGCATGTTGCATATTATGCAAGGTACTACCTGTCAACAGCTTCTCTCTCATGTGATTGCGTGACTCGGATAGAAATCTATCACAGTTGCCATGGAGCCAGATCTAGCAATTCACGAGCAAATAGCATAGGGTAAGGCAGTATCATGCACGAATGAATAACAGCAACCATTCCGCACTGAGATGGGTTTAGAGATCCACAAAGACAGACGAAAGTGGAATTACTCAACCCACCTTCTGAACAAGCGGAACTCTGGCCAACAAATTTGCTGTCTAAAATTGCAGCGGAAGTAAAAGTATTAATCCGTCTGGATCGTCTCGCAGCGAGGTCCAGGGGTGTAGGGAAAGTTGCAATCAGGAAGGATTCATGCCCTTGTTTATCGATAGATGAATAGTACTTGCTGGCTGCCTTAATTACTCGACTTCCCGTTTGATGATACACCGAGAAATGATTATTTTGAAGGTCGAAAAAAGTCGACTTTTGCCTCCACCAAATAAGCACGTCGCGCGTTCGAAAATTACTCTTTCACGATCCAACTTATATATGTAGCCAAGAACCCAGAGGTAGAGGAATCGAGTCTAATGTGACTTGATGATGTTCGGAGGGTCCGAAAGACTTGCATCAAATTTTCTATTGAAATGTGCACTTCAATAATGAATGGATTGCTGCAGAATCCTCGAGTACAGCCGTTCCTTCGGTACTCGGTAAATCTTACGAGCAGGCAAAATTCGTGATTGACGATCTTTTGATTTCTACGCCCCACTAGAGTGTACGGAGCAGGTGGAGTTGCAGGGCAAAAATTTGGCAGGACAGTTGAAAGATAATTGAAAGAAAACAAAGACGCAAAGACACAAGGACAGCCTTGGAGGTAAAGAAAGAAACGGCCGCTTATTCCTGCACGACCAGCTCTTATCGTGTCTCGAGCGTGTACCGTGCATCGGCATAGTGTAGAATGATATGTAAGTCCTGATCCCGTGATCCAATAAAATCGATCGAGAAAACATTACGAGTAAACTAACTGTAATGCAGTAAGTAGCACGAGTAGGTATGTATATCTGCAGTCAAACCGTTCCAGAAGAAGCCAACGTCTATTACTTCTTTTAGCCGATACCAATCATACTTTCCAATAGTCCGGATTGTAATCCGACAATCAGGAGCCTTCAACTCACGAATCTAATGATCAGGACATTCAACGATTATAAAAAGAATTTACTTTGAATATCCAGGTAGGTAGCGGCTGTACTACTTTCAATCGCTGAGAGCGTGTATTCACTCTGTCAGTCCGGAATACTGGTCATCGTGATACCAACGGCTTGTCGGTCCTCCCAATGTGCATAACTACACTACCTGGTAAATACATACAGCTTACCATCCGACGCCCCATGGTTGTGAGCAGAGCATGTGTTTCAATGAAGCACGATGATTGCTTTCTCCTGTTGTTTCGAACGGCAATACGATAAGACAGAGAAAGGAAGGAAAGGAGGACAGGCAGGGCGGCAGAGGGAAAGATTATGAACGAAGTAATACTACGGTATCTCTTTCGCTTTCTAATCAACCTTGGAAGAAAGTCTTTGGGAGTCTCGAGCTTTGGTATAATACTACAAAAGCAAGCAATAATCCTTCGATAATTCAATTGTCCGATTGTGGCACATCCTCACATCCACCCCTCAATGTCCCTCGGTAAGATATGCAATCATTCAAAAGGCTAGAATTTGGATGGAATACATACTTGATTACTTCAATATCTGATAATGAGTGAAAATAAAACATCGCGATGCCATTAGATTGCATTACCGACTACCCCTTAAGATCAGTTCGTTGGATTAATCATTGAATAAACTAGAATCTCGATTAGACTGTCTTGATATCACCCAGGCCCTCGCTATTCACATATAGGGAAGTGTCTGATTCGATAGGTGTGTTAACTACAATCTTCACCTCCTATAGGTATGAGGAGACCAAGCTCTTATTAATACGAGCTGCAAGACCAATTCTCAAACTGAACTTTCGTATCCCCCTATGAAGTATATCTGCGTATATAATTACAACTAGAACTAGAACATCATCACTTATCAGATGTGTCCTGCATCAAGCAGGGGATTTTTTTCTTTCTCGAGACACTTTGTATGCCCACCTGGTATGATAGATCAATATTCTTGCAACCCCGTGCTATCGACAAATCTGACCTAGGAAGTAGTGGGCCTCGAGGGCGTACTAGGTTTAATTCCCCTGCTCCACAGGGCCACATTTTGATCGCGGGGATATTTCTCAAAAGTCGTTTTACTCGGATGGTTTCCTTCATTCCTAATCCCTAATCCCAATTGCCCCCTCCCAAATTTTACCCATACAATATTGCGATCCATCCTAAATTCCTAACGGTCAAGATTTCCACTTCTTAAGATGCCTCTATAACGACCATTGTTCTTCGCCACAACTTCTTCTCATGGCTCCGAATAAAAAGTTCTTTGACTAAAACAACGTCAGGTGTTTTTGGAGGTTTGATTGTTTATTTGTGGATAGTGCACCTAGATCAGTACAACTTTAATTCTGGTGACGATCTCTCAACGATAGCCCACCCCAACGATGATAAGCCTTACAAAAGTTTGGCGCTACAACGACAAAACCGACCTTCTTATCTAATATTATCACTCTGTCGATGGACACAGCAGACCTATTCAGACAAGCCTTAGGCTCTGTCAATAGAGCTCGCGATGCGAAGTCCCTTCACGCAAGAGAGAGCTCGCATGAAAGCGAGGATAGTTCACCGAGGATCGCACATACCTTGACTGCCTGCTGCAGATGCCGCCAGGTTTGTAATACACTAGCCATTCTATCAATTTATAGTATAGATATACTAATGATGTTTCTGTTGTTCTTCAGAGGAAAACAAGGTGTGATCCCAATTTACCACGATGCTTGCCTTGCGAGCGTGCGGGGGCAGTATGCGAGTACTTCGATACAATGAAAGGCAAGAAAATCTCTAGGACATATGTGATAAAATTGCAAGAAAAAGTTCGGGCACTTGAGATGGAACTTAGTCAATTGGTTGAAGAAGAGGGGAACCCTCCAGACTCGGAAGACATTGTACGCCCTGGAGGCTTGATCCGACTTAACGAAGATGATGAGACGCCACGATACTTAGGGCCTTCAAGTGGCATTGCGATGACTCGGATAGTGATGGAGGAGGCAAAGAAATATACAGATACCAGGAGTATACGAGAGCTCGTGCCTGAAGTGCGGCAACGTCGGAGTCCTGCACAGTCGCCAGATATAGCCTCGGAACGAAAGAAATCTTATCCTATGATATCTGCTGTACCGGCGCCAACATTACCAAGTCGCCTAGTGACCGATAAGTTGGTGGAGGTATTTAGTCAGAAAGGTCAGTCAATGAATTTCTTTCGATCTTTTTGTTTTGCCGAGTAGTGAATTGCTTTATAGCATTTGTGTTTTTCGTGATAACAATGGTAAATTTGAAGGATAAAGGTGAACTGAGTGAAGTCTCAAGAACATGCGTGTCTTTTCAAGCTGCTAACCATGCTTTGGCGAAGAAGCCTTGTCACATATTGCTGATTGTGAGCTCAATTTTGGCTTAAACCCTCATCCGCATTGTTACGTTGGACTCTTCTAATTTTCGCTAACCACAACACAGCCCAGTATATGCTCCCTACTTTACACGAGCCTACGTTCGCCAAGCATCTTCAAGAAGTTTATGATGGAGATAATGATCCATATAAGAATTTTGTCCTTCGCATGGTCCTAGCTATAAGCATGCAAAAGCTGGACATGCAGTATGCAGGCCTTGCTGATAGCTATTATTTGGCTGCTATGGGATACATTGAAGATGTTATAAGACCAAAAGACATCAAGACGCTACAGTGCCTTGTTCTGATCGCTCAATATTCTATGCTTACTCCCACTCGCACTGCTATATACTATATTGTCGGACTTGCTACGAGACTTTGTCAACAGTTAGGTCTAGCGGAGGAAAAGACCATTACTCAGGGGGTATCTATTGGTCTAGTTGATCCTCTACAGCTGGACATGCGGCGAAGGCTCGCTTGGATTGTTCTATCTATGGAGCTTGGTTTAGCGCAGTCAATGGGCAGACCGAATGCTTTCGCAATTGGGAGAGACCATTTGGACATACAGTTTTTCCAAACTGTAGATGATGAGTACATAACCGCTGATGGTATTCTTCCTGGTCCCATGTCAGATAAGAAGCGGTTAGCCATCCACTTCTTTCGGATGAGACTGTTGCAAGCAGAGATTCGGAGAACACTTTATTTGCGAAAAAGAAACGAGCCGAAGAATGAGGAGCATCCTTGGTATGCCCAGATGCTTCAGAAACTGGGAGATTGGCTCGAGGCGTCTCCTGAAAAGCCGGCATGGAGTAAAACCTGGTAGGCAATATCTTCCAACTCAATGACAGTTTAATGCGACTCAGCGTAGCCCATTCGAGCATTAGTCTTCCCAAAAACACGGTTGTGCTGATAAACTTTTTTTAGGTTTAACGGGAGGTACAATACAATGATAATTTTCTTGTTTCGTCCTTCACCTCAAGTTCCCCAGCCGTCCTATCATTCCGCGATAATGTGCTATGACGCAGCTTCAAGTAACATCAGGACGCAAAGCGAACAAATAAAGACCGCCATGATAGACTTGACATGGCCATTTCTCCTGTCGCTATTCATGGCTATAAACACAGTACTATGGTCTATTTCGTATTCTGAAGTTCGCGCTCTTCACACAAAGGAAGAGCTTGAAGAGCATATTTCTTTGGCCTTGGACATCGTTGCACATTCTCGCGAACGGTGGCCAGGAACTCAAGCAACATCAGAACTTTACATGACTCTCACCAAGGCATGTCTCAAAAGTTATGAACTTGGCGATAATTCGCTTTCATCCTTTTCTGCCACTTCCCCATCGCTGACCGATGCAAACTCGCCTTCTGCATCCGAACACTCCAGCGCAACATCAACCTCACTTCCTCACTCGCAACAAAATGCGCAGCATAACAATCCGTATCAATCCCCCCCACAATTCGGATACGTCTTCAACCAAATGCCAGAGCAAATACCTCCATATGACTACAGCCATCCCTTACCTCCACTGCAACCATCCTTTCGGTCCAACTCAATCTTTGTAAGTCCCTCTAGTGGGCAGTCCGACCGTCGATTTAGCTACTTTCCACCAGAATTCACACAACCACAACAACCGCAATCTTATCCTATGCCCTGGGGTCCAGTCTCAAACACACAGCAACATCAAATGCCACCTCAAGCGCCACTACCATCAATGCAGCATTCGTTAGTAGCAAATATGCCTTATTTTCCGCAACCTGAATACTATAACTTTCCGCCTCATTTGTTCTCACAAGACAACTTCGAAGCAGGACTAAGATCAGGTAGTCTAAGTCAAGAACAACAAACAGAATTGATGCACAGCTTAGAGACTGAAGGGTTGACGGAGATTAACAATTTTATGAATCCCGTCCCACAGTATGAGCACCCCATCAAATATGAACAATAATCTATTTGATGGATGACCTTTGTGGCCAGGTTTCGATAATAAGTTGTATTGTAGAAAACAACGTCTGTATCATAGCCACGATCCCCCGCGGGGCTTGAATGTTTTGTTGCGATTTTCCGTTTTATTTGATATCCACATCGAGATGAGCAAACGAGCTACGAAATCATTACTCGGTGTTAGGTGTTGAGTTTTGGGTTTTACAGAAGGGATCGACTTCACAGTGTCAAGGGTGTTTTTACATATATATCTATCATTCAAATTCTAAAGTCACAAACTGTACTACGTAGTTACTCATGGAATGCATCCAGAGACCCAAGTATTATGCTTTGCATGTTACTGATGTATGTTGGTATCTATACCTTCTTTCCCTGGGCTTCGAACGCCTCTTCCACTGCATCAGCCATCTCTCCTAAAGTGCTAAACTTCCATGTATAAGCGACTTCATCCTTCAATTTTTCATAATCCTGACCTTCATTTCCCCTATCAATCCAAACTCCAGTCATATCCATTTTCTTCACAGGCACATGATCGGCTCGCAAACCTAGATTAACATCATCAGTAACGTTCATCCCATTTACAAATTGTCCATATCCTTCTCATCCAGTTCGCCCTCCGACATAATAAGAAGAGAAAAACTAACTCTGCGCCGTATGCAAAATTTCTTCCTTCTTCACCCCCAAATCCTCTCCAACATGCTCAACCAAAAACTCAAAATTCCTCAAATCAGGCTTATAACTCCCGATCTTCTGGGCCGTATACACTGCATCCCATCCTACATCCATGTTATGTCTGATCGTCCCTTCTATTGACTCTTCATTAATATTCGACAGAATGACGAGTTTATAATACTTATGCAGTTTTTGCAGCGCGGGAACGGTATCGGGGAATGCGGGCCAACTTGGAATCTTTTGTGAGAACTCCTGGGCTTCGGATTCGAGAGTGGAGAGTGAGGGGGGAGGGGTGAGAGGGAGAGATTGCGCGTAGGAAAGGTAGGCGAGATGTAGGATAGAGGGGTAGGGGAGTGTGGGGTGAGTTCTTTGGAGTTGGGTTTCGTGGGTTTGGAAGGCTTGAAGGGTAGAGGCGCGGGAATCGAGATAGTTCGATTTGAGGGGTTCGGGAAGTCGGGAGAGAAGGGGGTGGAGACCGGTGAAGAGCCCACCTGGAGAAGACGGGGTTAGTTGTTCGGTGTGTTTTTGGAGGGGGAAGATTCGGTGCTCATGAGAATATGGTTTAATGTTGTAATGGTAAAAAGAGGTAATGAGAGTAGCAAGAAACGCACCTTTCTCGTCGATTAACGTCGAATACACATCAAAAGATAATAATTTAAAATCTGTCAGTTTCCTCGGATCATTGGGGTCGACTTTTCCCGCCATTTTGCTCGCACTTGATAGTAATTTTGTTTTCAATACTTTAATGCTTCAGTGCTCTCAGTGATTCGGAATCTCACTATAAGTATGTAATCAAAAACAAAGTAATGCATTATCCCAAAGTAAAGCAAGAGCAACCCACCTCTTATAGAACTCATCCCCATCTCTTGCTTATAATATCACCTGGGTACAAACACCTATGCAAAGATGTAAAGATGACAAGAAACCCCGCACTTAGCTAGGCACCGACGTGATCTACAGGCTTACCGTTACTTTCGTCATAAATACGACGCCAATCCAGACGTATGGTACCAACAAGGAAAGACGACTATAGGCTTCTACGGATAAATTGGATAAGATTGATGTCGAGGGAAGGGCGCCCACAATATGCAATGTAGATCGCTTCTTCCTCGCCCCTGCTATTATTCTCGAGGTAGGATGACATGTGTGGAATTTATAGCTGGAATATATATTATTTCTACTGCTTGATGGCTTGATTGATGTACTCTCAACTCATAATAGGTACGCCAAGGTAAGATTTGTCACTTCTCTTCGATGACACGCTAATCGCAAATATATATACACATAGTTGTAGATTTTGGACTGTCTCATTTCATAATGATTTGCCGCATGTCCAAAATTGTGTGTCAAATTGGTATCCAGTGCGAACTAAGACAGGAAATCAGTCGACTTCCTCCTCAATCTTCTCGAACTCTTCATTACCTTCTCCCTCCCTATCAAGCTTTGTGTTTTGAGTAGCGGCTTCTGACCCGTTAAGGTCATTCACACCACTCTTCCCCTTCCCCCTGACACCTCTTTTCTTCTTCTTTAGCCCAGTACCATCACCTCCAGGAGGGGCTTCCCGGATCCATCTAACAATCGCTTGAGCCCTATCAGTACTTATAGGATACTCTTTCCCATCTTCCTGCGCCCATCTCTTAGGCATTTCTCTTCCCTCGGCCTTCCTAGCTTCCTCTTCCTGTCTTCTCTGCCTAGCCGCTACTGCCGCATGAAAACTAGCTTCATCATGAACACGATCATCTTCAAGTGCTTCCATAATAGCTTGCTGCTTTAATCTCTCTTTCTTTTCCGCAGCTGTCTCTTTTTGTTGATTGCTCGGATTTTGACCTGGTAACGGCGCGGGTGCGCAAAGAGTTTCCCATGATGCGGCGAGAGAAATCCAATTGTCGTTACGGCGAATTACTTCAATCCAGTCGGCGCGAGACGGCGATCTTGAGGCTTGGAAAATGGGGTAGCCGTCGCAAACACGAGCAAGTCGCGCAACCATATGGGCATGGCGCTGCAGTTCACGAGCGGAGGTCTGCACAAGACAGTGACAAAGTAAAAGGGAATGAAGGACATCAGTTAGAAGGGGGTGATATGTGAGGGCTTCATGACAATCGGCCTGGGCAAGTATGTGCTGGGCTGTCTCGGATTGGGATGCGCGAAGTTGTTGCTTAGTTGTAAGTGCTGTGGCCGTTTCTGGGTAAGGAGGAAGATCGGCTGGTGGAGTAGAAGAGAATAGAGAAGAGATTTGATAGACCTTGGGCGGAGGTAAAGTAGGCAAATCCGGTGGTCGAGAAGTGCTAGATTGAGGACGACTTCTTCCGTTATAGCCAACATGAGGTACGAGTGCATCGGACAATTGACCATTACTCAGTGACGCGTTGCTTTCCAAATCAAGGCCCCGCTTACTATGCTTGCTTTGAGGTGGTCGAGGGATTTTGTAACCATTCGCAGCTAAATTTACCTTGCGAACGAATTCTTCCGTGATCTCAGCTGGAAGGCCAGGGGTGTAGTCCAGATGCGACAGATATGCTACATAATCTCTTAATGCCCTCTTTGCATTTGTCTTCACAATTTTCCGTGCCTCCAGACGTTTTCGATGTGCTTCTTTATCAGCCACGGACAGCTCTGGCTCTTCATTTGACGTGCCGTTCACACCATTTGTCGTTCCATTAATTTTCTCTCCATTACTTGTGTCTTCATTACTTGTCGCACCGTTGGTGGGCCAGGGACTATTCATGGCCTTGTCTATAGCCTCGAATTTAAATAGGTCACCGTGATGGTGGGGCGAAGGTGGTAGAGCAGCATTAACGTGTTGACATGCAATAGTTAAGTAAACACCGGCACGGTGAAACAGAAGTTGGGTCTCAAGACTACTCGGGTGGTCCTCTTCATCTAACTTGAATTCGTCTCTCCATCTACCACCATTGTTTCGCTGTGCTTCTGCGGTGGCTTCACTTGCTAGCTGTATTTGCTGTCGGCCCGCCTTATGCTGGTTCTGATAATATCTACAGACTGATAAAGCAGAAGTAAGATCTTGCGCCGCTCCCACAAAATCCTCCTTGAATGTCTTTGTAACGGCTCGGGTTCTTAATATTTCGCCTTCACTCGGCCTATCTGCTATTACTTCATCCAATGGTGTTAAACTTGTACATTCTGCGAGCTGCCGCGAAGGAATCTTCTCGTGAAAAAAGTGAACGTATTTGGCATCCGAATCGTTGGGGTTTCTCTGAAGGACAAGCTGGGCTACATCCTCCAGTGTAGAAGCAGATTGCATCGTCGCGACGCTACATGCGATCTCATCCAGATGATATGCCTTGGATAGCTTTTGTGTAGCCTGTTCCCGCATTCGATGTTTTCGTTCCTTACTCAATTTCGCATTCCCCCCTCCGCCCCCAATCCCCAGGCCCAGCGCCGTCCCCCCATTCCCTAATAAGCCATTTCCAGCATTCAAGGAGTTCGAGAGAGAAGAAGATGTTACACCACTGGCGGCGCGCACTGCGAGATTCGTGGCATCGTCAACAAGCTGTCGGATTTTAAGGATATCGAAGAAGACCGCGGGGTCGATCGGTCGGGGTCGAGGAAGAGCATAATTATTATTCGCGAGAGCTTCGAGAACTTCAGGGGGCAATTGTAGCCATGGTCCATGGAAAGAAGAGATATAACGCCAATGTCTGCGAGGAAAATATTAGTCGGATGGTTTAAATATAAATGCGGGACGCGCATTGAGGCAAATTGGAAAAAAATGATGATGCACAATTTCGCCTCATAAGTTCAGGCACGGCATCTGCAAAATAGCCATGACATCTGCGCATAATTGTGTAATAGGGGATCGATATTGTAAACAATTGACATACTTGTTGCGACAAATAATAAGTGCAGATGTTGAGGGTTGTTGCGTGGGCTTGGTATCTTTTGTTTTCGTCTTTGTTGATGTAGTTGATGCTGGTAATGGCGCAGAAGCGGCGGGAACCTGGATTTCTGGGGAATCGCCATTATTTTGGCTCTTATTCTTCTTCTTGGCCATGATTGATATATATCCTCAGTTATACTGGAAATGAATAAATCATGGTAATACTAAAATACCTCCCGAGACAAAATTTGGTTGATAGCACAAGCAATTTCAACCGAGATTTTTGCACGCTATGAAATATATGTCCATCTTTCAGATGGTATATACGGTTCTTTGATCTCCATCTGAAGTATGTTCAATATGAAAGTACGGCCAGGCTTTCATAATCATCTATCATTATTTCGGACAAAGTAATTACGACTATATAAAACACCACCTCGTATCTTCTACTTTCGTTCTCGCTACTGATCTTCTGAAGCCGAGTTGCGCTAGGGATATACCAGAAGATTCAACGCGAGGAAAACGCCAATGCGACCACGCAACGCTATGATTCCACCCGCTGAATGCATAAAACCTGTAGATATTAAACGTGATAATATGATAATAAACTATTTCGTGTCTTTTTGTTCAAGAACTGAGGGCAAGACATGCATCGACTGCCAGACCAACCCTAAATTAACAATTAGTATGACAATCTCTTGGGGAGTGTTCTTGAAGGGGCTAATCCTCACCTTCCCTCTTTTTGAGTGACCACATCACTAATAATTTCCCTGTCTAAATCTGGAAACATTCCTGCAAGAGTCTCTACAACATTCTCGTGCTCTGCGCGCTGAAGGCGATGTGCTTCTGCAGCCTCGGCACTTGCTTGTCTTGCAGCTGCATCTTCAGCTGTCATCCTATTCCTAGCATTTGATTCACGTTCACTGGGCCTCCGGTGTGGGGGCTGAAGCCCGTCCATGCTTACTCGTGGAGATGGAGTCATTCGCGGCGTATTCCCCGGATTAGGGGTCCTCGCGGGCCCACTGTAAGGGGAAGGGTCGTCCGAGAACATTCTTCCGATGGAAGAAAGTGGTTTCTGAATAGTACGAAGCAGACCGCTCATGGCAGCTTTCTCGTCCATGCCATCCCCAGCTTCACTCTCGCTTGATGATGTTGATCTTCTGGGGGCTGACGACTCGCCTTCCATGGAATGTCGAGGGGTTACTTCGGGGCGACTAAGAGCGGATTTCTCAGAAAGCTGTGTTGGCGGACTGTTTTGGACAGGGCTCAAAGCAACTTCAGCTTGATGCTTTTCGGCAATGGCGGATACAGCGGCTTCAACATTTCGTTCAAAGTCTTCATCGCTTATTGTAAGAGTTGTTCGGTCCAGGTTTTCGATAAATTGGACAGCGCCCATCTTGGAAGGAATTAATGTTGTAATGCGCAAGTATACTTGAAGTGACTAACCAGAGATGAAAGATAATATCCTGCCTCTCCTCCTAACTTTTCTTGATTTCTAAACCGAAGAATATATTGAACGTTGGATACAAGATGCTCGGGGTTTGCTTGAAGGACAACGTAGATTAGGAGAGGCATAAATGAGTCTGCCGATGAATCTGTTTTCGAATGTTTGAGTAGCCCTGATTGAATTTAGTAAAAATGCTCAGTAAAATAACCAACTTTGGGAGTTACCAAAAATCACTTTGCAACAGTTCAGAACACATATTATCTTGTCCCTTGGAGCCCTGTAGGTTTTGATCTTCAGAATTTCTAGTGACTTGATTAGCAGTCACATCCAACCTTACGCGAATTCCTATCTGACCTTGTTGTGCCAAAATTAAGAACCGCTTTCCACTGTCGCCAACTGGTGGTATATCTAAATGCTCTTCTTTCACCCAACCGTAAATGCTGACTTTCTGAGCAAGAATGTCATCTCTCTCGACATCTTCTTGATGTTGTCCTCTTCGACCGGGACCCATGGGTCGATCAGCACCCCGCCTTCTTGGCTTTGCACCTGGGATAGGCTGGGGTGGAGGAATTGCAGGAGAGAACGTTTGGGTATATAGCCTATTCATAACTAATTTTTCCATGCCTTCACGCGCATTATCAAACTCTGCATCCGAAACTTCACGCCATACCTCGCATTGGGCCATTTTATTGGTGATAAAAGCCAAGAAATCGCCTATTATTTTAACTTGTTCATGTACCATCCATTGTTTCTTTGCAAACTCCTGTAAAAATGACCGTAAGAACTTCGCTACGGGATCCGCTGTTCTGTGCCTCAGCTGCTCCAAGAATCGATGAAAATCGAAAGGTAGGTCCGGTTCAGGCTCTGGCTCGGGAGGTGGGGGCCGATGTAAAGAAGGGGGTGATAATGGAGTATCTGTGGAGGAATAACGATCGTCCTGCATTTTACCAAAGCTACGTATAGAGTCTGGTTTCGGTGGGACAGCTGGGCCGACGTCAGAGTCGTTCCTCGTTCGTTGACCTGATGAAGGATCTGATGATATTTGTAAATCGCCTATGCTCTGGCTCAGAATATTTGCATTTAAGGGTTCCAGGCTCGATTTGCGAGGTGGGTGTTGTACTGGACTGCCAAGAAGCGGGCCAGCAAACTCAAGACGGGGAGACATAACTTCTTCGTGCCCGGGGCCTTGTCCGTCCTCGCCAAATTGATCCATTATGCTTTGTATTTCTGACCTAGACCCTCCTTCTCGCTCGTCCTCACTTGCGCTGGTTTTTTCGTCAAAACCTGCGTCAGATCTCGTAGGTGATCTATCCAACCCTTCCGCATGTAGATGATGTGTTCTTGCAGTCGACGCGGATCGTGAAGCAGGCCGAGAGGTGCCAGGTGTCTTTGGGGTAGGATCCAGATACGTTTGATCAACTAGTGATATGTTCTGCGTAGAAATATTCGGAGGTCGGGTTTGAACGGGTTTCAGAGTCGCAGTAGATGATTCCATATCTTGCGGTACAGGCTCTTCGTTGGTCGCCGTCCGTAGCTCGTCCATAGTGTTTCCTTCCGTACTTTTGCCCTTTCCCTTATCTTTCAGTGAATCCAAAGCATTATCTAGTGTCGTATGAGGATTGACTTCTGCTGGCTCGCTTCCGTCTGCCAACAGTGTCTCTTTGCCAACATCCTGGTCCTCCATGTCCTTACTGGTTGGCGAGGCTGGCTCAGCGTTGTGATTGTCAAGCTTTTCATTCGAGCTCACCATCAATGAGAGCCCCTGTGATACTCCATCTGGGATCTGAACAACTTCTGCCGACTGTCTGGGAGACGACATACATCCGCGAGCGCCTCTGATCGGCGTTTGTGTAATTGTAGGATTGGCGGGGTATTCGAGCTTCAAGGTCCAGGGTATCTTGGAGCTTCGAGAAGAGGTTTTGTAGATTCGCAGAGTGTACTCGAGTATTTTAAGAGGGATATTGATAGCCAGTCATCGAAATTATTGTTTCTCTTCTTGTTGGACAAGATAATTAATTATCTTGGTTGCTAAGTTTCCTCAACCCTCGACAGTGAAGTAATCTGGTCGATTCGCTAAAATGACGATCCGTAGTGCAGCACAAGGTTGAACTTAAAAATAAATTTTAAAGTCAATTTGATCCTTATCAATATCAATATCCAATATAAAATCAAACGCCGGACGACAGCACAACCTTGAAAATACCTTGGTCTTCTGTTATATCCACGAAGTAAATGGATTTGGTTGACTAGGAATTTACTAATTTAACAAGTTCGCAAATGTGTGGTATTTACGCGTCGATATCCACGCGAGGATTGCAAACTCCGAGTCATGCTTTGAAACACTCTCTTTGCGACAGAGGTCCTGATCACACAGGTTTGTCACAATCAAGTTATACTTCAAGTGATGGAACACAATACTTCTTATCTTTTTTATCAACTGTCTTAGCTTTGAGGGGAGATCATATCACTCCACAGCCATTTGATGGTTCAAACGGTATTGACGCGTCTGCTACCAACTCTGGCTCCATCCTTTGCTGGAATGGTGAGGCATGGAAGGTTGGTGGTGAACTCGTTAATGGTAATGATGGCCAAGTCATATATGAGATGCTTGTAAAAGCTGTTTCAACAGCTACCTCGGCATCAGATGCGACACTTGCTGTGGTTAAGAGTTTACGAAGCATTTCTGGACCATTTGCATTTGTCTTCTGGGATAGTTTTCACGGTTCTATATATTGTGGCCGAGATCGCCTTGGTCGCCGATCTCTCCTTTATGATGTTGATGATGAATCCGGGGATCTGGGACCAACTGGATCTATAGAGTTTGCAAGTACAGCGGATCCCGCCAAAGGCGATTGGAAAGAAATTGAAGCAGATGGCATTTACAAATTTACCTGTGTTGATAAGAATACATTTCCTTCATCAATGTCTGATTCACAAGATAAATCTCTTTCGAGATCACTATTGCCATATCAAAAGTTCGATTGGGAGGATCCAGAAGCTGATTCGTCGGTATGTATTCCTTATTATTCTCAAATTATTTGTCGTTCAGCTAGGATTCTGTTCGGATATAGTCAGTACTAAATCAAAGTTTGCAGTCTCCTTCACTCGGAAAGTTCAACAAAACTATTGAAAATGAAAGTCATATACTCGGCCTTGATTCCCCATCAGTGATGTCATTACGACATTATTTATGTGAGTCTCTGAAACCTAGGGTTTTGACTATTCCCGCTCCTCCAAGTATAGGTCACTCTCAGAATGTCAGGCTTGCAATTTTATTCTCAGGTGGACTTGATTGCACAGTTTTGGCAAGATTGGCACATGATTTACTACCATCAGATCAAGAGATTGATCTTCTCAATGTTGCGTTTGAAAATCCTCGTGTCATTAAAGCTGCACAAACTGGACCTCGGCTGAAGAAAGGGGCACAACCTCCGCCTCCGGATACAACTCAATTACTGGATAAGAAAGTTTCTCCATATGAGCTCTGTCCTGATAGAGAAACGGGGAGAAAAGCTCATCAAGAGCTTCAAAGTGTTTGTCCTGACCGAACATGGAGATTTGTTGCAGTGAGTCGATAACTTAACTCGACATTAGTTCTCAAGAGTTGACATGAAACAGATAAATGTCCCTTATACAGAAACAATGGAGCACAGAGCAAAAATTGTAGACTTGATACATCCACATAACACCGAAATGGATTTATCAATAGCCTTTGCCTTATATTTTGCATCTCGCGGTGTTGGTTTAGCATCGCAAGGCAATTCTTCCGAGGAATCCCTATACACAACACCTGCACGTGTTCTTCTTTCTGGACTCGGCGCAGATGAATTGTTCGGTGGTTATACACGACATGCAACCGCATTCAATCGAAACGGCTTCTCTGCTCTTTTAGACGAACTAGAATTAGATGTGAATAGACTTGGTAAACGCAATCTCGGTCGAGATGATCGTGTGATCTCACATTGGGGAAGAGAAGCTCGGTTTCCATACTTGGATGAAGATTTAGTCAAGTGGGCTGTCGAATCTCCTATATGGGAGAAATGTGGGTTTACATCTGAATCACGAGGCCCTGGAACACCAGACATAGAGCCGGGTAAGAAAGTGTTAAGACTATTGGCTTATGATTTGGGTATGACATCAGTTGCTACTGAGAAAAAACGTGCTGTGAGTGTTACCTACCGATTTCACACTTCTGTACTATTACTCACATCATCAGATTCAATTCGGTGCCCGAACAGCAAAAATGGAGATTGGACGAACGAAAGGGACTACATTAATCTCATAAAATCTTTCATGCATATGCAAATTAATTTCTATTCAAATATCCTGTCAAGCTTCTTCCCAATTTCACACCTTGTCGGCTATGATGAAAAACCAGATACTGCTGAATCGTTTCGTGTGCCAACGGGAGCTCATTCATATGTGATCTTCTTCTCGCGTGTTTAAATCTTTGCATTTATGTAGAGATGGTAACCAGGGAGGATTCATAGAATGCCGTTGGATTCAAACACGGACGTTTATGAAGTAGTAAAGGCAAGTCTGAGCCAACGTATTTCTCACATATAAAAAACGTTATCAAATATCTTGATTTTCTTTATAAATCTGTTCATGAGTGGAAATAGATTAAAGATGATACCAAGGTAATAAGAAGTACTGGGCTCGAAGTGCTCGGCTCATGACTATTTCGTTTTGAATCATTCGAAGTAACATCTTCCAAGAAAAGCTGCTACCTACCTAGGTATAAATCATACGTTCAAATGAACGGGAAATCAAATCAATCCTGTAAATTTCCTCTCCACACTCCACTCTCAGGTTCTTTTTCTCTAAAATACCATATCGCCCATTCCTATTTTCTTCATTCCATCATCTCCATCGTATTCCAGCAAGCCACAACCTCACAAATTCAAACCCCCTATTCCCCAACTCCGGAAGGCACCACCCACCCCCCGTTTCCTTCCCCTTCCTCTACCACCTCTCCCACACACCCAAATATAAATCCTCATAACCCATCCCCCTCGCCCTGTGTCCATGGCGCAGTGGCACAATAAATGTTTAATTTGTCATACTTTTACATTTATGCAACCAAGGGGAGTAAACCGTCGTGAGACGCAGATACCTATTAGAGGGGCCCGCTGGTAGGTATCTGCGGAATTTCTTGTGTTGCGTGGGGTTTGGGGCTTTGTGTGTATATGAATAGATAAATGGGCAATTCGTCATACTTGCACATTTAGATGGGTTGATGGATAGTTACTCGAGGGGGTGTTGAGGTCTTGAGGTCTTGAGTTTGTGGGGTTTGGGGATAAAGGATGTACATCGGACGCGGTGGAACCTTTTTGGAGAATTTGGGTGGGGAGATGAGATGTGGGATAGAATGGAATTCTTGGAATTCTTGGAATTCTTCTTTCGTTCTTTTAGCGTGCATTGATTGATGAGTGGATTAAAGTGCGATATATTGTATTGTATTGTATTGTATGGGTGGGTAGGTGGACAGTTTGAGGAGAATGAGGAAGAGGAAGGCACGGGGAGGAGGAGTCAAAGTGGAAGGCACGATTGTATGGTCATAGCTATCTATCAATCTATCGATGTGGAAGTCAAGTTTAGGGTATTTATCATATCTCATCACTCCTCTTGATGTCCAAATATTTCTTTAGTATCTTTGAATACACAAACCCAGTATGTGCGTATTCAACTACCCACCTAGTCTAACATCACCACACTTTCACGATTCAAATCCTCGAGATCAAATCGAGACTCCAACTCTCAATTATAACAAAAAGAAAGTTCTTTCTCTCCATCCCATCCCGTCCCGTCATGCATGTTTTTCTTTCGTAGATACCATTGATATTGATTCATGATAGCGATATGAATGAAAATGGTGACGGTAGGATCATTCTAGAGCTGCGAAAATAGAGGAGGAAAACTTTTCTTTCCACATCGAAGGAGTGCTAGGTTTGTATGTAGGTACTTTCTTGCTTGTTTGTTTTTGATCTGAATTGAGTTGGTTAGTTGCTTTATTTTAAAGACTTAAATGTTAGAGTTAAGTAGAGATTTAAATTGTTCTATACGATATGTGGGGTGCGTGTGAGTGGTGAGAAGAGAAGTTAGATATATATATATATATATATATACACATATATATAGTAGTTGGATTTGAATACTCACTTGTCTCGATTTCATTTTCATTCCATTACATTACGTGAAAGTACATACTAGGCAGATAACTCGAGAATGGAGGATGAAGTGAGGATAGGTAGGTATTTAGTAGATGTGGAGAAAACAATGAGAGAGGGCTCTGGAAAGAAAGTTGAAATGTGAATTAGATTGAGGAGCTGGAAAATAGGGAAAGCGTGTTTGTATATATATTTTCGATCGCCTAGTTAGTCAGTCCATCTTTCTACCTACCTACCTACTTACCTACCTAGGCAATATATTGTATGATATGATATCACCTCCCGTTTATGATTCATCCCTCTCGTCTCCCGGTTCCGCTGCAAAACACCACACTATACCACATTGTGAACATCACACCATGAACATCACATTATACATTGTACATTATAAATATCCCACGAATATCCCATGCCAAAGCCCACATAGAATATAATTAGAAGATAGAAGATAAATAATGGCTATGTATCTAAATAATCTAATAACGTATATACATCATAAGCATCCATCCATCCGGTTAGACGATAAATACTCACCTAGGTAAATAGTTCACTCTTGAATCACCTCATCAGCCCGTATATATCCATACACCTACCTACCTACCTACCTACCTACTTTCTATCCAGCATGTATGTATACGAGTAAAAACCCTTTCTACTTGCACTTCCACTTCCCAATTCAATATTCTATACCCGATGATAATCACCCATCCCCATCACCAAACAGCCTCCTCATCCCCTCATCTCAACCCCCTCCCCATCCCATATATCTTTCTCTTCCTTACAGACTACTATCCTCCAATCCTTCCCCTTACTTTTTTCTCTCTCTCTTCCTCTCTTCCTTTCTCTCCCCCTTTCTCTCTCTCTTCCTTTCCCTCTTCTCAACTATCCCTACCCAAATCCATCCATCCATACTCATCCAAATCCAAATCCCCCCATATCCATCTGCACCCATCTAAATCCATCCAAACCCCCTCCCCCATTTACCCCAGGATACCAACTCTCCCCCCTCCCTTCCCCAGTTCAGCCGCCCTCCCCGGAAATCCCGTTTCCATCACGTAATAAAATAGCGTAAGAGAATCATTTCCAACATCCATTGTCTAGGGTTTAAGATTACTCTGGTCATTCTTCATTAATGCATATACATATATAGGTGCAAGTATGAGGAGACCAAGTTGTTTACTTTTGTTAGTTTTGTTTCAAGTATTCGTTTTCTCGCGTTGTATTGTGTAGTCGAAACAACTATCCATCCATCACGATTCCCCCTCGTATCCTCGCTTCCGCCACCTATCCTCACCATCATTCTCGAAAATGGATCACCCATCCAATTTCCACATCAAAGTTCACATATTCACACACACTCACATACTTTCAAAAAATTCATTGAAATCATTTAATATCATTTGATCCCAATTTCCTCATCATTGTCTGCTACGGTACATACAAATCAGATTCCGAATCGAGATTGAAAAAGAACACCACGCAAGAAAAAAAAAAGCCTCACTCCTCCCTCCCGTAACCAACTTTTTCACCATCTGTTCAATGGTCAATAAATACAAAAAGTCAGAAACTACACGCAGAAGTTGCATGTATAGTTACTGTACAGATGTATGCCGTAAGTAAACCTCAGTTTCATACATCGAAAGAAAAAACATTGAAGGAAAAGAAAAAATGTGGTATCTCGAGTGAGTTGCTAGCTTTCTTGGTTGGAAAAAAAATAAACATTGAATTTGATATCGTGGCGAATAAGTAGGTAAACAGAAAGGAAAATAAAATTAACGATCATTAATCATGATTGATCAAGACCATGTCTATGCGAAGTCGCTGTGCATCTAAAAAGACGAAAGACAAAGAAGGCTAAAGACCGAAGCTGCTTATCAAAGTTGATAATTTAAGCTTCCATGTCCTGAGCGGAATGTCTAGCTTCCTTCTCATGGTGAGGATAAGGAGTGGTAGCGGTATCGCGACCAGAGTATCTGCTTCCAGTCTCGGATGTATCGTTCAAGACCTCACGAGTAAGCTCAACGTAATCGTAAGCGAACTCGCCAATCTCCGCATCATCGATACCGAGTATTTCAGCTTCCTCGGTAGCGCGGAGGGAGAGACCTGGGATGAGGTTCATGATGAAGAGAATAATGCATGTTCCGACAAAGGAGTAAACGCCACCGGAAACAGAATCAGCAAGTTGGTATCCGAGTTGGACCCAGTTTCGGTTAAGCCATCCACCTGGAATCTCGGTGAAACCATCAAGATGAGCTATGTAATCAGCGGCGAAGAAAGCAGTGAGAATATTTCCGATGACTCCACCAACGGCGTGTTCAGCGAAGATATCGAGAGCATCATCGACACCGAGGACGAACTTGAGCTTGGTAGCATAATTGGCACCGGCAGCTCCGACAACACCATAGATGATGGAAGCCCAAGCAGGAACGAAACCAGATCCTGGAGTGATAGCGACGAGACCGGCAATAACACCAGAGCAGAAACCGACGGTGGACCATTTGCGCTCAAGACGGTAATCGAGGACACACCATGTGATACCACCAACACAGGCAGCCAAGTTGGTAACGACTGCGGCCATAACAGCACGCATGTTGGCTGCAAGAGCGGAACTAAAGAATACAAGTGTTAGTCCTTTGTCTCGAAAAGTTTATTGTTCTTCAAGTCATGTGCAATGAAACCTCAAGCAAAGTTGCATGGTTCGTCACACAAGAGATGAGTAGCAAAAAGATTTGGATCAAACATACCCAGCATTGAAACCAAACCATCCCACCCATAGGAAAACGGTTCCGATAACAATGTGTGTGACGTTATGTGGGCGGTAATTCAACTCGTGAGTACCATGTCCACGACGTTTGCCCAACATGATACTGTATGCGAGAGCTGCACAACCCGAAGAAATATGCACGGGAGTTCCACCAGCAAAGTCGAGACCACCCATCTTGAAAACCCATCCAGAGGCGTTCCAGGTCCAGCAAGCAATTGGATCGTAGATGATGGTTGACCAAACGAACATGAAAACAATGGTGGGAAGCATGCGACCACGTTCGGCGACGGCACCCACTGCGAGAGCTACGGTGATGGCGGCGAACATACCCTGGTAGACGGCGAACATGAG